TTTCAGAGTCTTTAGTGTTGGATCTGTGTTTATTTGGGTTTTATGCTACATCTTAGTAGCAAGCTGTACTCTACCCTAATGGTATTTCCTTCTTCAGGAGTTTATAAACTCTTCTTTCATTCCACTTTTCAAGCAAATATGTTTTTAGAGGTTTGGGGATTTTTTTTATATTGCCACTTTCTTCAGGAAATGGTAATGAATTAAATAATTTTTTTGTGGATATCTGTTGCTTTGGATGAGTTGCAGAAGGACCCCAAACACTCCTTTTGAATGTGTGTTCTTGAAAACCCCAAAAGTCAAAGTATTGTCTCATCAGTGTGAGAGGTATTTCCCCATTTATGAGTGACAATTTCGTGTGCTTTTCTAATTCAGAGACTTGAAGTAGTTGATCAGCATGTGGAACTGAATGAGGGAGATCTCACCTGAGCTTTAAGGCCCTATGATTGTTTGCTCCTGAAATCAAATGAAACTGTAATACCTCCTTTTGGTAGCACCACATTGTATATTCCCTGAGGATCTTCTGAGGAAAACATGCAGGTTTTTGCAGATCTTTTTCAGAGAAAAGCAGACATTATTTAACTGATTTATTTTTACCAATTTTTCCTTGTGAAGAGGACTATTTGGCCTAGCATCTTTCTTTCTGGGTTCAGTAGTTCAACCAACACTGCAGAAACACACCTTCAATAATTCTGTGAATCTTTAGGCATCTTTTGTTAGATTCCTGCGATTCCAAACCAGCAGTCCTCAGTAATGCACTGACTATAAGTAGAACCAATTTTTCTTCTTCATATTTGGTTCTGGTTATGGCCAAAAAGAGGAAGCAAGGGAACTTTATGGAAGATTTTGAGAAGTCTTTGAAGAATATTTCAATTTTTCATATTAATTAATAAGTCTGCATGCACTTTAGAGTTACAGTTAATCTGGCCCTCATATTTTTAACTAGAAAAAAAATCTTAACATTTGTGGATGGACTGTCTCCATGTGTTGTTGAAGAATTTGTTGTCTCAAGATCTAAATGACTGCATCCATGAGGAAGCTTTAAGTAGTACTTGAGGCAGCTGACAGTCCCATTCCACTTACCAGTGGGAGGTCAGCTCATAAAGGAGGGGTTTTCTTTCTAGGGAGAGTTTTATCCCATCTAGAAAGCACTGAGATCATTAAGTTCTTTATCTAGGTAATGGCTTCTTGAGGAAATAGGAGATAAGAAAAAGCAATAGTTCACAGGAGTAAGGGCTCGTAATGATGGAATGATTTCACTGTTTGAAAAGTAATTGATTTCTAGTGCAAAACTCTTCTAGTATTGCATTCTTCTCATCTGGTCTATAAAAGTACACAGGTGAAATGTGCTATTGCAGTGTTTACAGGGTTATATGGTAGTATTCTTTCCCTACCTAGGTGATTCCTCTACTCCTAGAAATGCTTTCAGCAGTTAAGAGAATCATTTCATTGCTTTCTCAAACTGCTAACTAATCTTTCCCAAGAGCTTACTAGAGAAATCCACCTTAATTCCAAGAGTGAAATTAGGCCATAAAGATCTTTGTGAGTGTAGTTCAAGAAATGGTTATGAAGTTTGCCAGGATACCTCAGATTTAATTGAACCTAAATGTCTTGGTGAAAGCATGTATCCTATTTCATGCACTTGCATAAAACTTCATGGCAGATTACACATCACATGAATGCAGGATAGATTAAATTGATACATCATTTTAACATGCATCACTTGGCCATCCCACCACTTCCTTCCTGAAGTGAAAGGAAAATCCCAGAAATGTGCATCGGTCACACTACCTTTTCCTTTCAGGCTTTCAGACAAGCATGGATGGAATTAGTTTTGCATGTGAATCAGCAACTGGATCACAGCATAGGTAGCAAAAATTTTTATTGTGCCTGAACTCTTGGCACTCCCACAGTGTCAAATGGGTTTTTCATTTTCTGTGTGCTGCCACCAGTGAGCATAAAGGCAGAGCTGTCTCCTGTATCCCAGTCTAATTCCATCTCTGCTGTGCAATCTCCTGCACATGGGATGCAGGAGGGTAAGGGAAGGAGGGTCACAGAGGTATTTGGGTAGATAATACAACTTGAAGAATGCAGTTACTGCACAGGTAAGTAATTTTTTCTTTTGGAATAGTCATCTGTAAAAGTTTCCTGAAAAAAGACTGTCACTGTTTATCATTCTGATATTTTATCAAAATACAGGAAGATTTGCCATTGGTGTGATGCTCAAAGGTATGATTGCTTCAGAGGAACAGTCACTGTAGGAAACATGTTATAACTGTAGTTAAAATTGAAATAAGATTTTTTCCAGAGTTTAAATCTTACCACAATAAAGGTAGAATACTTCATGTAATTAAATGGAGGAAAGCAGCAGCACAGGTCAGCATGAACCTGTCATGTTTTAGAGTTCAGAGCCAAACAGCTGGAAGAACATGCTGGTGTGTCAAAAGGTTCACTTCAATTTTATATACTAATATGAGACAGCAGCTTATATTTTTTTTAAGTCATTCAAATACTAATCAGTCACGAATCAATGAGCTAGAAACAAAATCATTCTTTAAGAGAGTTTTGAAACTATGCTGCACTAATGGATGTGGTACCTGACTAACCTGCTGCTCCTGCCAGTCATTTGTGTGGTTTTGTCAGGTGGTCACAGACATCATGACACTGTTAGAAGAGTGAAATTGCACATCTTTTAAATAGGTTTGACTGAGACAGAAAGGAAAACCTTATACTCAGGCTTTTCTTACTGGTGGGTTATTCATGTTAAAGTTCACCATTTCTAGGCAATTCATTCTAAGTCAGCCTGGATTTTTAACTTGTGACCCTCTATCATATATGTACAATTTATGTATTATTTTAGGAAAAGTAATTATATATGAATATAGATTTTTCTAGTGCAGGTAATGTGGCACTGTATTTTTGGTATCACCAGCTGTTCTTCCTCCTGTCCCTCAAGCATTCACCTGTCTGAATAGAGCACTATATAGTGTCATGTTTAATACAGCGTTAAATTCACCTCTGAAATGTTTGCCTGGAATGAAGAGTGGATATACCTGTGTGTTACAATGTTTAATTCTGCATTCTTATTTTAGAGGAGTTTCCATTTTAAATGCCACTGTTCAAATGTACAATTCCCACTTCTGTTAATTGACACAGAGAACTACACATTCACCTGACTGTCCATGAGTGATATGACAAGGAGTAAAGTTCATAATTGCTCTGTAATGCAGATAGGCAAATAAATATTTCCTATATCTGAAATGGTTACTATTCCTTGCACAACTTTTTGTAACCTTGTTATTCATCTTTTTGATGAGACTTCATTTATGTTTATGATAACTATAAAGTATTTTTGGAAGATGTTGTCAGTGTTCCTATAAGATTCTGAAAATACGAAAACATGTTAAGCAACTCCTATTTTTGAAATGTACATCGCTCCATTTGTTTCTTTAGAAAACAGCAATTACTTGCCCTGTGAATCCATCTTTCAGTGTAACCATCAGCAGAAAGCTGTTCTGCTTGCAAAGCCTAACTCCTGCTGCCTGTGCTGGTGGCTGAACACCAGCTTTGCTCTTTACCAGGGCAGGGGTGCCACATGTCCTGCACTTGTCTGATACAAAGCTTTGCATCTCTGCTTGAACACTCTCATTGAAAGTGGCAGTTTTGAGACTGTCAGAAATGGTTTTCATACAACTGTCTTTGGGGATATGGTCCTAGAAAGCAGGAATCAAGTCAGATTCATTTGTTAAACTCCAGTAACTAATTTTTTCATTATGAAGGTTGCAAGGACAATTTTGCTCCAAGTCAGTCTTCTTTTTCGTTATTCTTTATATGGTACAAAACTCTTTCAGTGTAAGTGGAAAATTACAATCCTAAATACAAAAGGACAGAAGCTGAAGGGGTACATCTGACAAAGAGGAAAATACCAAAAAATAAAAGCATTTTTGATTTTTTCCACTGCTACTGAGATTGCTAAAAAGCCATATATTAACTTCAGTGTGCTTTAATATCTCATTGGAACCCTATGATCTAAACCAACCTGCAAGACAAGAAATGCAGAAATCTTCCATCAAGCTGCTCTCTTGTGGTGGGTTTGTTTAGCAGCCATGGTCCAGGGCATTCATGTATGCACAGCCTGCTTTGAAGCCTTCTGTGCAGCTGCTTCTGCAGAAGCAGGAGAGACACATTTATTTTCCTTGCATGATTAAAGTTAGGAGACTCTCCTTTACAAATAACAATACCATTATTTTGTGTATCTATATATATATATATTTTAAGTTATGCTGCTCGTAGAAACCAATAAACATATTTTTTGAGGAGCAGTAAGTTTTCTTCAGTGGTTTAAACATATGAGGCACATCTGAACTCACAGCTGTGAGGATGCTCTTTATCAAAGCAGAAGATTTTAGGGAATCTTAATACTTGAATATCTGAGATTCAAACATCCCAGATGAATCCTTCATATTTCCTAGCAGGCCTTGGGTGTAAAACTTCCTTTAAGACTTAACTGAACAGTGGAAGACTGTTGGGTCAGTGTTTGCTTTTCTCCCTCTTAACCTGGAAATACAAATTCCAAATCCAGTGCTCTGTTTCCCTTCTTACCACTCCTGCTGCTGAATGTGCGAGCCAACGGGCAATTCTGAATGCCTGCTACTTTCCTGCCACTTCTGGCTTCTCTGCTTCTTCAGAGCTGCTTACTAATCCTTATTTTCCAACAATCCTTGCTTCTCTGTGCTGTATAATCTGACAGGACTGTGGTACAGCCACACCAGACAAGCACTCTTGCTTTGAGGTCCTGCTTTGCTGGCTTTCTCCTTCTCTTTGCTGCGATCTTCCTCTTACTCCTGCATCCCTTCATCATTCTTTCCTCTGTGTGAAGATTATTTGTCTGCAATTGCACCTTGGGAGGGACAAACACATTTTGGTTGGCTTGAAACTTGGTTGGTTTAAAAGGCTGTACTTCCAAACAAGTCGTCTTCACCTCGTGTCCCGTCATTTTCCAGGACAATCTGCGTAAAAAGGATGATCGGATTGAAGAATTGGAAGAGGCACTCAGAGAAAGTGTTCAGATAACTGCAGAGCGGGAAATGGTGCTAGCACAAGAGGAGTCAGCCAGGATCAATGCTGAGAAACAGGTCTGCAATCTTGTAAAGTCACTGGTAGCCCTCCTAGGAAAGTAACCAGACAGTAAAGTACTAATTTCCCTGCTTTCCTGCGTGAAACACAGCTGGCTTTCTTTGGTGATCCTGTATGTCTGTTCCACTGTTAGGTAACAGAACTCATAAAATCTGCAAAGCCTTCATAGTAAGTTGTATTTCATAGGTAAGATTTTCTTGAAATTAAAATCAAAATATAAGGTATGCTGAGCTTTTGAAATATTGGTTTAAGTAGTAACTCTTCTGATCTGTCTTGCCTGTCGAAGCTGCCTTCCTGTGTGCAAGGTATACTTAGATTTACTGCCTTGTTCATTGAATTTATTTGAAAGACAATGGTTTTTACTAGCCTGGTTATGTTTATGGACCACAGCCTCCTTGCACTTGCAAAACAACTGGTTAAAAAGACAAATCCCTTGGCTTAAGCCAAGCATGCACACAGAAAATACACACCTGTGTACTGAAGCCACAAGAAACTTTCATGCATTAATTGATTTTGTTGCCACTGGGAACTCTGAAGAATCATGGGCATGCCTGATTTTAGCTCAGGTAAGTAATCATCAAGAAAGCATACCCTAAGTTATTTATAAATCCATGAGATTTTGATAAAGCTTGTGAAGCAGTAGCTGAAACTGGCACTCTTAATTTTATGAGCCTCTTTAGTGAAAAACATTGTCCTTAGGACAGTAATTAGCAAAGCAGGAGCCTTTGCATTTCAATAGAAGAATCTCCTTGTCTTTGTTATTCACTTAGTAACACTTCTGACCAAATACACTTTAAAACATTTTGAGGTTTTTCTTATCATGTATTCTTGTATCACAGGTATTAATGAAAGAGAAGTAAAAATCCAAGTTTTCCTGAAGATAGCAATTATTTCTCTATGAGCTAGAGTCGAACACAGCTGTTTTCTGATAGATGTATTTAGGATAATTCTGGTTGCTGTATTTTAGCATCATAGAGAATGGGATGGAACTCACTTTTAAGAATGCATTCTTTCCAAACTTCTTGTAGCCTTTAAAAAAAATTGCATTAAATAGAAATGTTAACTGGGTAGTGAATGCCACTTTGAAGATTAGATCTCCTTGAAAGGAAAATATATCTGACAAAGCATTTGGTTCTATGATGAGGCACAAAAGTAATCAATGTAAAATTGAGTTTACATTGTAAATGCAAAAATGTAAATTTGATTTTCCATCAAAAATTGATGAGGTACAAAAGTAATCAAATGTGATTTGATGCCTAGGATGTTATAATGTTTTAATTAATCAGTTAGAAGACAAAGTGACCATTTTTATATTCTTTGAGCACCTAGAAGCTGGTGCTCAAAGAATATAAAAGTATATAATTATAAACATATATACACATAAATATAAAAAAGAGATTGTTGGAATTGGGTGTAACATCTTAAAAATTAGGCAAGGCACAGCCAGAAGACCAATGAACCGTCAGGGTCAAGAGAGATTGAGAAGAGAAGAAGAGAGTCAAAACAAGTAAGATTTGTGGGTAACAACATAAAAAAGGAATATGGTAGGTAACAGCATGAAAAAAATAATTTGGATGTAGCAGTGCATGCAGAATGAGGAGAAGGAAAGAGAATGGAATGAGAGCAGCAGTATTGGAAGAAAAGAAAGTTGACACCTGTGACAGCAGTGGCTTACTGCAACAGAACTAAACTGCCACCTCAGACCAGTTATGGTTTTTAAAATATGAGCAAAAAATCAGCACAGTGGAAAAGGATCTGCAGGCTCTTGTTCTGGTCAGCCCTGGGAGACCTCCTGTGCCCCACTTGGTCCAGCAGGATTTTGTTCTGGTGTCAGTTAAATACAGTCTGGTATATTTAGAGTGGTGGCAAGTAGCTGTTCTTCCAAGATGCAGAGGAGACTTCCCTTCAAATGTTTTTCAGTGCAATTCCTTCAATTACTTTTAGAGAACACCCTCTTTGTTTTATCATGTCCTGTGGAAGTTCTTTGTAGAATTTTGAGAGACAAACACAGGTAATATTAGAGTTTTAAAATGCAAGACGCCATGTTCCATATACTATCAATGGCAAATCCATTGACTTTCACAAACCATATAATAGCTTATTAATATTCTTAGACCAAGTGTGACTGCTGTGTGTATTTTATAAAATGTTGATGTTGTTCAAACTGACTGTAATTTGCTTTTAATTGCATGCTTTTTCTTTCCTCTCTTGTTTATCTTGTTTTCTACCATTCTGCCACTTCACTGCCTGTCTGAAGCTTTTTAATGAATCAGTGCATGAGGTCAACCATTTTGGCTTTAGGTGGTTCAAGGTATGAGGACATCTCATCTGTGTGTGCCTCTGCCCCAATATTTTGTGTTGTTACTGTAGCCTTGTCTTGTGTAATCCTGCCCTCCATCATCTCATGATGTGTGGTGTTGTGATGTTTTATAGGCTTCAGTTTTGAATTACAGTGTCCACAAAGCCACCCTGGATTTCATGGTTCTCATATATCCTGAAATGTTGCTCTCTTTAATCCAGTGTTTGAAAATATCCTGTCAGTGTGTATGAACTGTGACAGTGGGTAACTGTGTTAATACACAATCTGTGTATTAAGATGAAAAGCAAGATGTCTCCTGCTGACTAAAAGCTTTCTGTTTATTTCACCATTTTAGACCTGGTCTTTCTTTCATCTTTCTTAAAAATAAAATCAGGCATTTCCTGCTGGAAGCAGTGCCCCCATTGAATTGGACATAATTTTATTATCCCTACTGATCTGTGTACAGAAACCCTGCCATACAGAAAGCAGATGAGGCAGTCTTGCGTAGATGGGAAGGCTTGAAAGTTCTTCAAGCCTTTCTTTCTAATAATAGTCACCTGGTTTTGATGGTGCACCTGCTGAATCCTCTATGTAGATCCCGTTGTGAATTCCTCACAGCTGTGGGCTTATTTAGTACTGTGGCTGGGCCCAATAGTTCAGGCCTCTGTGCAGAAGATCAGAAGATGTATGCAGACTTCTTTGTTAGTGCTCCCATAAGGCTGAAGGTAGGATTTCTCAGATGAACACTTCTATCATAGAGGTTTTTTTATTAGACATGGTAAGTGTAGATTCAGACACTATTTCTGCATTAACCAAATCTGAGTTTATTGTAGAAAAGCTGTCGTTATGTTCCTCAGGGGAGGAAAATATAATTGCATAGAAGTTTTTCCCTGCTCAGAAATACAGCAGTATTTGCTCCCTAAGAAGAACCGTTGGATCTTTTCTTTGAAAAGACACCCTGTCTTGTTCACAACCCCTTTCACTGTCCTGGTGCATCTTGCCATCCCTTCTCCTGCAGGAAGCAGCAGGTTATCCTTTCTATGAATTGAGTCCTAACCAGCACCATTCCCAGGACAATGCTGGAAACGTGCTTTGATCCTGACGAAAGAGTGGGACCCTTTTTGTGAAAGAAAGTGAAACACAAGTTTAAGTTCTGTGACTCCATGTTGATCAATAACTAGCCACAGGTTCTTGTCTCAAGGAGCACAGTAGTAGGATTACTGGCATTTTTAGCCTTCCTTATTGAAGGGCATAGTTCACAAATGTTTTCTGACCTAAAATACTTCGTGCTCTCCTTTTCCGTGCTCACTTTCATCCCTGTACTTGGGTGCACATCCCAATGTGCATCCCATGCTGTTTCCCCAGCCAAGGTCATTCTGGGGCTGTGTTGTGAAATGGAGCAGTGACCTGGAGCAGTTCATGGTACCAACTGTCTTACTTCTTGAAGGGATTTTTTCATGTGAAGCACTTCACTGCCCTTGTTCATGAATCCCCATGCTCACCTTGAGGTACATCTGAGGAAGTGTTGACCTGTGTGGGCAGGAGTTACTTAGTATTATTACTAAAAATATTTTTACCAGAAACTTATTGCAGCCTTTACAATGGGCTCCTCTTTCTTTGAGTGAAATGGTACGTTGCCTGGCCACAACATACAATTCTCTAGCTTATTTTATTTCTTTCAGATTTGAAAAGCAGAAGATTTTAGAAATTTAAATAACATTCCTGATGATAGTAGTGCAGCTCTGTTCTCTCATATGATTATCGACTCCTGCTTAAATACACTTTCTGTGTAGTATCAGCTAGCATTTAACTCCTTACCCTAAAATGTAATGGCAAATAAACACATGAAATAATGGCCATTACCTTGTCATTCTTTACTTCCTTAAGTAGCTACTTACCCTGAAATTTTTAAGTTGGCAGTCTGATCTTGACACCTTCCATCAATGTTTTTTGAAATTGTGGTTCATATGGTTCAGTGTCACATTTTAAATGAGGTTAAGTATGTCAACTTATAAATAGCTGTATCTTTATTCATACACTGTGTCTTTTTATCCTACATAGGGCAGGTTTTTCTGTTTTCTTTTTTTATGGAAAGTATGAAAGATGTAATATTGTAAAAGTAATGTATTGTTTAAATGTATTTTCTTACACTCATTACTTTCTCCCACTGTCTCTATAAATTATTTCACCAGGATTTAATATTATTTCAGGTACACATTACATGCAAAATATGTTGATAACAAGACTCCTGATATTCTATATCACATATGCCTACTTCAAAATTAACTGTTTGTTAAGGAAAAATAAAGATGAAATAACTCAATAACTCAAGCAGAACTTTCTTCACAGTTCTCTCCCATTTCCCTACTGTAAATACAAGGTCTGCAAGGGTTTGAATGTAGAGTAGAAGTTCCAAGAGCCTTTTGTCTTATGTGTAAGTTACTGTGCTGAAATGCTCACCAAGTTTTGAATTGTATCTGTCATTTGCACTTCTGTCAGAACACCATTCTGGTTTTAACTTTCTAGCAAATATTATTTAGACTACAATTCATTGTAAGAATAGAAACTACATTTACAGCAGATTTATCATATATTGGATGCTATCCTATCAAATACCTTCTGGAAATGCCAGATAAATTAAAACATATCTTTTTTGCTGAGCATTCTGTTGCTGAAATAGATCTGAAATATTTTCTCACA